AAGACATGTTAATAAGATACGACTCTGTGAATCATAGCCAAATGATTTTTTAAAGTGACTTTTTGCGTAAATTGTTTTTCACAAATATGACATTTGAATCTTTTCTGGCCTCCGCATTCCAATCTCATGTGATTGCTTAGGCTAGACTTAAGTTTATACACACGACTGCAGGATTTGTTAGGACATATGTACTTTTGTCTCAATCCTAAAAACATAATAATAATAATAACACAGTTAGAAATTTAATTATGTTTAGCGATTAGTTTTTTTATAATAATAATAAAGAACACTAAGTATTATTTAACGCAACGAGATGTACGTAGATCCAACTATCAATTGTCGTTAAAAATAAACAAATAACTCGACAAACAAAAAGGTGCTAAGAAGTATTATAAAATTTAATAAAAACCTTAGTGTGTAAATAAAATATCACACACGTTTGTGTGTGGGTTAGTATAGAAAGATATTCCTATTGCTATAATTATTGTTTTATATGTTTTAAAAGCATATATAAGCAAATGCCGGCATTAGATATTATGCTTCTATTGGTAAAGTTAAGAACTAGTACATTATACATTTCTGATTTCTAGTGACAATAATATAGGTACCTAATTCATAAAAGCAAGATTTTGCTAGTAAATAACACATTAAAATTTAAATAATACATTAAATTATTGGTAAATACGAAGAACAAATTGTAAATTTAACAAGTTAAAAATACACAGCTACTTTATACCGAAACAATATTAAAAAGATCACAGAATAAATAATCTTATTCAGACTATAGTCTATAGTTGATCATCGATGCGAGATGCCTACTTATTTCAAAAAGATTTACACAATGATTTAGGAAAATACAACAGTACAGAATATTTAAATCCCTACACCGACAGCCATTAAAAAAACCGGCACAGGGGTCGAAGCATAATAAGGACACGGAGCATATAAAGGATCAGGTCACTGGTCACAGGTTTTTTAAGAATAATTATAAATGATAAAAAAATCAAAGTGACAAAATCATTTTCAAATAAACACTTCCACGTGGATCTGTAAATGGTATAAGTATTAAATATCGATAAAAACCATTGCGAGGGCACAAAATGTGTTAACATTTTATTTTTAGTATTAAAGTGGATATGATTAAGGTTGATCGTCTGTCTTTTCTCATCAAATCGACAACCGTAGTGAAAATATGTTTTGGATACCTGCTGGCTGTTGATTCACTCACACATAACATTACCTAGAAATTCAGTATGGTTAGGTTTCTTGTAGTTTTTCCTTAATAAAATACAAATTTGGCTAACAGATTAAGAAAATTGTAAATGTTATAGCCCCACTCAAAATTTACCTGTAACCTAATTTACAGTCCTTAAGTCCTCAAGAAAACAACGCTCGAAAAAGAGAAATAAAGATAGTTTACTTGCGGAAAGGTTTTACTATATTTGTTTAGCGTCTATCAATAATATTATACTCGTACCTAAAGAATATTCCATTCCATATATATTTGGCCACTCGTCATAAGAGTCAAGACAATTATTTTTTTTTTAAAGTAAATATCTTTTTGACTTAATTAAACAATATTTGTTATTAAAACATGTGTAATACACATGTAACCAAAATATTAATTATTAACAATTTTGACTTTATTAGTAAAATGTTTTACATACTTAAAGTAAATTTTATTAAAAAAATACATTTAAACGAGATATTTTAGCGCACAATGCATTTGTGTATGGAAGCGGCATGCGCTTGCATGGCGGTTTTTTGTTTGAAAGTTTTTGAGCAACATGGACAGTTAAACAGCCTCATATCTCCACATTCGTACTTGACATGTCTGTTTAAGTTGTTCATGGCTTTATAACTCTTTCCACATTTGTTGGGACAAAAATATCGTTGATTTTTCATCATATGCATGTTTGGTACTGTAAATATTATATCATTATTTCAGATAAAAATTGAAGTTGTTTTTTTGCGATTATTAATTGGTACATACCATACAATTTTGAAGTAATTGTTGCATTGTTGATATACCCGAGTTCTGAAAACAAAAATTGACATTCATATTTATTACTTTGTTAAATTCGTTCAACATCATTAATAAAGTAAAATTAAGCAAAAAGCGAAAACAACTGATTATAATAATATTATTATTTATCGTTTTCACAGAAAAGAAAATTTACAATTTTGGGTAGGTAAATGTTAATAAGTTAATAATAACAAGTTAATGAGCCTTACAAATATTTATGTTGTACCGACTACCGAACTATTCATACAATCAAGGGTTCAGATATTGTTCTTAAAAAGTATCTATCCGATATTTGTTCCGGAACAATTAAACTTATTTGTTTCTATATGAAATCTGTTCCAGAACAAATAAATCTATTTGTTCCAATCCGATATTAGTTCCGGAACAAATGGGCCTATCTCTTTGTCCCTATCCAATACTTGTTCCGGAGCAAATAAACTTTTTTTCTCGGCCAAACAAACCTATTTGATAAACCAAAATATGTATATGTTACGGAACAAATAGATTAATTTGTTCTGGGACAGATGTCGGATAGAAACAAATATGATTATTTTTATTTAAACAGAAATATTTTTACTCTGGAACATAATACTCTGCGGAACAAATGATTAAGTTCCGGAACATTTTCTCGAACTTTATCCGGACCCTTCTTACAGTTATATCTTGATTTGTGTAATGATCCATGTTTTTGAGTAAATGCTATTTAATATTTATTCAATTATTCAATATACACATAATCCGTATTCATTATAGGTTACACGAGAGCAAAATCTTAAGCAACACTTTTTTTTAGCCATGTGAATTAGTTTTATTAATATTTCATTGAAAATGTTATGTTAGAAATTAAAACTTATTAATTATAATGATGATAATATTGATAAAATTGTATGTTTCAAGCAATTTATTTCAAACATTTTTATAATGTAGACAAGACTTGTAGTCTTGTACGTAATGTAAAATTACTCTCAGTCTTAGAATTGTTTATGTATCAATAAAAATGTACGTACAACAGCTAGGTACAATGGCTAAGTAGATAAATAAACAAATATCGGACGTGATACGCTCCATAATGACCACATGTATTTTTGACTATATAGATAGTTAATATCATATAGTTATGAAAGAAATTGCATTATATTTTTAGCACGATAAAATCGATTTTTTTATAATAATGTAGACGCACACAAAGGTGATAGCTGATATCCTTTTAAAAAATAAATTTTTGTTTGATCCTATTTCATTACATTTTAGCTTCTATAAATAATATTTGGTGTAATTTACAAAAAACTTGCTGTGTCGTTAATAAACAAAAGTTTGTACATATTTAAAAAAACACTACAGTGGGGAACGGAGCAAATTGAGGCATACAAATGATAAAATCATTTTCAAGTAAGTGCTTCGATGCGTACCTGTAAATATATAAACACTGTCAATAATGTCCTTAAAATTGTATTTTTGGTATAAGCGTGGACACGATTAGGGTTGACAGAGTCGTCTGTCTATAATCATTTGTCGTCGTTGTTCCTTATATATCTAGGTTATTAGTTCTAAAATTTGCTAGGAAAAATAAACAAAGAAAAAGTTTCTATCTCTTCTAGGGATAGGGTTTTTAATATTCTTTTTTATTTTTCAAAATATATTAATAGTACTATATTCAAGAATATTCTATACAAATCTGGAATTAATTCTACTATTTTAAAAATTTATAACGTGCCGTAAATGTTAAGTTGAAAAATATGTACATTTTAAGGGTATTTTTCTAAATTTTTAAGAGAAAAGGGGGAATTTTTCAAAATGTTTAGCCCATTAAAGTAACTTCCAGGTACGATTTCTGATATATAGAGTTGCTATATGAATCGGTTCAGGGGTTTAGAAGAAGATATCGTAAGTCCAGACACAAAACAAATAAAAACATATCATTGTAAGAACGATACCTTCTTAGTTACGCATCAAAGATAAAAACGTTTTATGAATCGAAATGAGATGTCTTTTTAAGGACTCTTTTAACGTAAATTGTTTCGAACAATAATTGCACTTAAACTGAGGATCAATGCCACATTCGTATGTTAAATGCCTTTTTAAACTTCCTTTTGCATTTTTCCCAGTATATGAACGGCCACAATTATTTGGACAGTGAAGCAGCATTGCTAACTCATTACCTGAAATTATAGAATCAAACATGTCAACTAAGAAATATATATAAAAATATGTATACTAAAAAGCTTTATAACTCTAAAAAAATACAATTCAGCTTGTTAAAAACGACGTGATGCAATATTTAAAAAAATATATTTTTATTTGAAATCCATTTGAATATCACCCAAATCCCAATGATGCATGTTAAATGAATCGCTTATTTCAAAAATCCGCCTTAATGCCAAGGGAACCTCTATGTACAGTGTATAGTGTACAGTGTACTTGAGGGATTTCTGAAATAAACGATTCAAATATTATTACTTACAATAAGCGAATAATGCAAATGAGACAGATTAATATGTACTTTGTATGATTATTGTTTGTATTTAAAATTAAATGACCATACACGTACATCCAATTAAAACAAATAACTTGAAAGATAGATAATATATAAATGAAATATTCATTCTAAATACCGTTACTTCTTTTCTAAATCCGTAACTATTCAAGTGGTAATACCGTGGTTATCATAAATAATACAGAGTAGTTTATTTGTATGAAGCTGGAAATCATACAATCATACCACAATGGTCATCGTGATAGTTTGTAAAATTTGTAATTGAATAAAGAATCAAATACGCATATTTACAGTTAAATACAAATTCGTTTAATTGAACATTAAGCTTAACTTTTAACAATCTTTAGTATTACACATATGAACATATAGGAACCATTTATTGGTATTTAGTTAAGAAAAAATACTAAGTTTAAAATTAAAATTAAATAACTTACGACATAAACATGGTAAATGAAAGTTTATAATTTTTAGAAGGTTCTTTTCTAGATGACATATTATTATAGAGTTTCATTATGAACATGGTAACGCAATTCAGACCAACAGTTTTTTTTTACATAATATACATTTTGATTAAAACTCTATTATCCCACTAAAATATAAATATGCCAACTACTAAAACCAGTGAATAACTTACATATAATGAATCCACCGAATATATAAATTTAATAAACTTTTTTTTCCAAACTTTCCTCTTATTTTTTCATTTTTTTGTTGAGTAATTTTTCGTATAAATAATAATATGTGCTACATGTATAGCTGTTGGCGTGTAACAGGACAATTAACAAATGATAAGTTCACAATTTTCACATTACAACTTTATGTATAGTTATTATATGTCGTTTACAGCTTCCTTTGTCCGAAAACTTTTTTAAGCATTTCGGACACTCGAACTGAGGTTCCACTCCACATTCCAGATTTATATGCCTTTTGAGATTCGATTTTCGGAATTTTCCTCGGTATGCTCGACCACACTTGCGGGGACAAGGAAGCGGATCCGGGAAGTACAAATTACCTGTACATAAATAGTAAATAAATAAATGGTCATTTAATGACCGATAAAATTATGCGTCAGATGTTGTGCCGTGAATAAAAAGCAGCTAGTTAAAATAGATCATTCTATGCGGTTGCATAGTAGGTATATTATAAAAAGGCAAGTATTGTAATTAAGGTTTTTTTAAACAGTCGCTTGTTTTAATGTTTTAATATTTATGTACAAAATAATAAAATAAATATGAATTGAATTGTGGTAAAAAGCTGTAAAAACTAACTTGTAATTATAATGTTTTATTGGTTTTAACAATGATGCAACGAAGGGATTTGTTTGATATGTTTATTGCTTACAGCTTCATACTGTACATATTATACAGTATGAATATTTACGCAGTTTTTCCGACAGGCTTAAAAAATAAAATATGACTTAAAAAAATTAATTTCTGAAATTTAAGGCAATAGATTCTTTTAAAGCTAAAAGTGGAAATAATAATGTATCAACAATGTTGTTTTCTTAGACTATTTTCATTATATATTTCTACAAGGCCACAATTGTATATACAAGACAGTGAGTTCATACTTTTTTCTAACACATAGAAAATTAAAATTAACACAATATTGTGATTTATAATACCTTAATAACATAACAATTAAAATTGTTATGATGGTTAAAAGGTAGAAAATTGTTTAAACAAAGAACTATAAATATTAATATAACTATAGTATTAATATAAATATTAATTGAAACTTTTAGATCTACAAGGTGACGTTGAATTTTTTCGGATCTAGTTACTAATATATTAAAAATGTAGGTAATTATTGATAGATTATAAAAAATTGTAGTTATTAATTATTATCATAATAATATTATTTTCCGCTGGTATTTCTGTAATATATTCACATGTTGGGAATTTGAATTCAAAAATGAAAACTAGTTGGGATGTATAAAATATATTGTATATATAATATATAAGTTATAACCATCTATCCAATATCCATTAGCACTATTCAATAGTGCCCGATAAAAATATAAACTATATTGTGCAACTATTATTATAGTGTTATTATTATTATAATCGTACGTACAAGTCAAGAGAATTGTGTGTTGTTATTTAGATAGTACTCTAAAGAGAAAATAATTTTCTTCAACTAAATTTTTACTTTGGATTTTGAATTATAGCTACTCGATGCATTTAAGTGTTGAAATAAACAGATTACAAACTTTTCATGCATACATACTTTTTGTATTTCAATAAAAAACCAACATTATTATAAACAACAAGTGAAATGCATTTTTATGAACCTTAACCATGTAAGAGGCATGTATGACATGTTTTTAAAAAAAAAAACAATAATAATAACATGATTAATATTAAATTTTATTGAATACTTTTGATTTATTCATACTTTTCAATTATTTTGTGAACGAAAATACAATGTTTTTTTAAATCGTATTTTTGAGCGAACCGTTTCCAGCAGTAGAAACATTGAAACTTTCTAGGCACACCACATTCATTGCTCAAATGCCTCTTGAGATTTCCTTTTCTTCTTGACCCTTTGTAACAACGACCGCATCTGTTAGGGCAGTATACTGGATCTGGCATTGTCATATCTAGACAAATATAGTTAATATATGCATATAAATTATTATAAATTTAAATAATTAATTAAAATACATGTAAAGCGTCTTTTCAGATTTTAATTCTATATACAGTTTAGCAAAACCATAGCAAGCGTTAAGTGTATGCACACTATTACACTATCATACATTGCCACTATGTATAGCTAAATAAAAAAACATTTGACGAGAAAATCGTGAAACAGTGTTATACATGATAATATATACATTTTATATATACTACTAGAAAATAATAAAAATGTTGAGCTTTCGAATGTCTAAATTATATAAGGTCAAATTTAAACGGTATTTTAATAGTTATATTCAACGTTAGGGTTTAATATACAATTTAAAAAAACAATAAAATAAAACAATTCTGGTTTATGCTTTTGTGTGAAATTATCAATTGTTTAACTCAATTGAGTAAACTTAATGAATAAACTAATTTATGAACTTAATAATTCCTAAAAAGTGAATTTAATAGATTATTAAACAGTAGATAAACTTTTTCGTATTTAACGATTTTACCTTATCCTATTTTGTTACACACTTAAAATCGAAAATGACAACACATACGAGTATACTTCGTCATCAAAACTCTCTATGAATTCTTATTACATGATATCATACAAGTATCTCTTACGTGGATTTTTAAGGAAAGAGGAATCCAAATATGTTATATGGCTCCTAAAATTGTGAGATCAGCATTAGGTTAGTATATGAACAAGATCATCACCTCCCAAATTCCATTGGAACTTGGCTGATAGATATATTTCTTGTGAAGGCTTTATGTCAAAATATAAATTGAGAAATCTGTCTAACGTATTATTGAGGAAATATATCTCTTTAATTCTAGCAAAATTCTGGAATCTGAGTACCGTAACAGATGATCAGCCGATTTCCAATCGGTTTATCAGTTATCCCAGTATTAGGGGTTTTCTTTTATCACCGTCCCATTCCCGCCCTTTCAAACCTTACACTCATTCAATTCAGATCCACATCCCCTTCACACCTATGATGACGTCAACCTAACGGTTTTTCGATCGTTAACTTTTATAATAACACTCCTTCCCAAATAGCTTGTTCCAGATTAAAAAATTATTAATTTCTAAAGAACAATACAGATAATTTGTGTAAGATCATTAAGGAAATTAGCCAAGCGATTAAAAACTTTATGTGAACAGGTAGTAAAAACGTATACAACTAATAATATTTCAGATTTTATAAAAATCTAAAAAAAATCGCTTACACGAGGAAAAAATGAAAGGTGGTTGTTTTAAGTGTTTAAAGTTATAATAAATAGTTGTAATTACATTAAAATATTTATCACATAATCAAAATAGTTTAAGTAAGTAAATTGTATAACTATTATTCTATAGACTTATGGCTGTAAACATTTTTTTATTGTAATTTTTATGGATTAATTGTGAGATTTATTTAACAACGATTGGGTCATTAAATATAATATAAAGATCGCTCATGTAACTCAGCATTCGACAGCTTATTTATGGAAAATATATGATTTTATATGAGCTTTATAGTATAACTTTCTGCATACAGATCTTAGTTTTTCCTTTATCAGTGGCGAAACTAGGATTTATTTACGAGATAATTTAATAGCATTGCAAACCTCAGAGATTAATAAAAAATAAATTACAGAGTTGGGTGAAAGTTTTAACCTGTTAATTTCCGTGGTTGGATCATTACTTCCTTTGTTTTGAAAGCTATATTTTTTTGTTAAAAAACTGACCATATTACGTTAATATTTTCATGCAAATAAAATTACACGCTTGTGGTAATAATTTAAATTATAAAATTATGATGCATTAATTAATTTTAAGATAAATCATGCACATGTTAGAAATATAATGGTAGATTGCTAAAATAAGATGGTAGTTTTATATGATTTTCAGTCTTTGGCGTTATCAATCTGACATATTTGTCGTTCAGAAACGCATTGTTCGGAATATGTAGGTAAGGTAAGACGTTATAAAACAGGTTTCGGGACATATAGCGGGTTGTTCTTGACATATCGAGCAAGAAACCCCAGTTCGTTTTTGGTCCAAACCCCTGAATGAGCACAATACACACCGGCGACGTCCTTTCTAACTTTTTCGTTTTTGTGCACTTCGCACGGAAAGTGGTTGTTAGAGTGAAGCGATCTGCTTATTGTAGAAAACCTGTCTACATAAAAGAAAACCCAATTACTTTCTACTCACAAAGCATGTCATGCAATCGATTTTTTATGTAACCGTCCGATATCATTGAAGAATTAACCAATGATAAACTCACTATTGTTGACTAAGTCATAAATAAAAACTAGCCAAGTGTAAACGGTAAAAAATTAATTTGTAGTAAGAATAAAATATATTCACTTAGTAGAGGAATTTATCTATTTGATTTCAAATCTGGCCAATAATAATAGAATATTCCAATAGCACATAAGGTTTAAAATCACTTTAAGTATGTAATAGTTTAGTATATAATATGTAGTTGATACATATTATATACTGTATACATATTGAATATTGTCTAATATTGTAATATAGCACATCAAAAATATTTTCAAAAAGAAAAATTACAAAATTGCAATAGTTAAAAAAAAAAGTGGTTTAAGGCGTTAAAATAATTACTTGGTACATTAAGTTAGCAAATAACAGCATAATACTTTAATCCTAAGTTTGGTCTCACAAATTTGTATTGGTTTCATAGATCCTTATTATTAAAGCACTGTGATTGGTCAAAAAATGGTTAATGGAACCATTTAAGTATAAAAGTTATGGCAACACAGCATTAGTATTATAATTTGTAAGAAAGTATACTAAAATATATAATACATAAACTAATATCAGTAGACAACAGATAATATCAAGCTAATGTATTTAACGAAACTGTAGTGATAAAAGCATAGTTGTAAAAAAGAATCGGAAGACCTAGTTATTATATGTATATATATATATATATATTAGTTGACTATACAAAGCGTAAAATGATACAGTACAATTTGAAACAACGAACAACATAGTTTTGTAAAATAATAACAACAAACATTTTTTAAATATTTTAAAGAAGTAGATTGTGAATGCTCGCAATGTGTTTTTTCATGTTAAATTTTTGTGTGAACATTTTGCGGCAATAAATGCACTGGAACTTTTTGGGTACGCCACACTCGTAGTTCAAATGGCGGTTCAGATTGCTCTTTCTCTTCGCACCCCAGTACTTAGAACTGCAACCGTTTGGACAGTAAAGCGGATTCGGTACAAATTTGTTAGTAGCTATAAAAAAAAAAATGCATAGAGTTACACACCCGCACTATATCAATAAATAGATTACATCAGTTTCTTCTCGAATTCAAAACTTGCAGTAACATAAATCATAATAACACAGATTTATTGCGATATATAACTCAACATATCATATGAGACTCGTTTTATTAAATTTGGTTTAAAGTACATATAGACACCATACAATCAGTTTGAGCTTGTTCTAAGAGACAAAAAATTATAAAAATTTGAAAATTATTCTATTGCTAACTTAATTGTTAAAAAATGTATGTGAACGAAAACAAAACATGTAAGACAATCGACATGCAAAAAAATAGGCTAAATAGCGTAAAATGTTGTTAAAAGTTTAATCGTTAAAAATTAATAAAGCGTGTGTTTCGCTGACGTTAAATTTGATATTTCACTAATAACCACGGCTACAATTGTTTGTGAAACTTATCGAAACAAGTACCCTCACAGAGGGCAGGTTTGCCCGGACAGGTGGAACAGTACACGTGAGTCCGTTTCCGTCCACGACCAGACATGGCACACAGTTGACACCTTCGCAGTTTCTTTCGGCCCTTTTCGTTCCTATCTACTATGCAAGGTAAATGGCAGCGATTATCATCGTCGTAAATCACTACAGGTACGGTAAACTCTAAAAAAAATATATATAAAATTATAAAAAGTACAAAAATTACTATAATTGTGAAAATAGGTTGATGCGCGATTTGCAGAATCGAATGGTTAAATTACAACATGTACAAAGCGGTTTTCATGATATTCATATTGAACTAAATAATAATATGTTAGTTGTAATAATGGGTATTCAAGCTAAATATTACACAACGACGGCAAAGTTAATAGTATATAATATATATTATGTAAAGTAGAAGCATTTGTTTGTACAGTATACCCGCTCACGGCCGTGTACTGACCGCGATATGCAGACAGTACTGTTAGTGTCCACAAACACCAACTGCTAGATAATTAATATTTAGTACACGACAAACATTAGAGCTAATATAATAAACACTAGGTATAAATTATAAACCCGTCCAGTTCATCTTAATCTGTAAACCGGCCGTTAAGTTTAAAAAAAATAAGGTTCCGTACAATTACTGTTAGCGCAAATAAGTATTGTCAACATGTTAATTTTTATATGTTGTATTCGTTTTGTTTTACTACATAAAATGATGATAGATATTTAAAATACAAACACCAACATTTTTACAAATCAATTTACTTGCTTAACGTTGGATTTAAACGTCATAATATCAAAAACTGTGTGCCACTTGTGCTGTATCGATAACACTGATATATATTATAATGTATTTCTAAACACCAGACTTGTCATCATGAGTTGCATCAGATAAGGATCTAGATGAACTGGACGAAACAAACTAGTAATTACGAAATAATTATAGAAGAAGTGAATGAAATTATATTTTTAACATAATTTAAAAATATCGTCCAAACATTTTATAGTTTTTTTTTTATACATATAAAAAAATCGATCAACTAATAAAAAGAATAAATGATCAGATAAGCATTTTGTGTATGGTTATTGAGTGAGATTTGAGAGTGCTTTTTTGAGTAAACCGTCTAGAACACACGGTACATTTGAATTGTGGTTCCACGCCGCACTCAAATTTCAAGTGTCGTCTCAGGTTGTCTTTTCCGTGTTCTCTTTTGTAACTCCGACCACAATTATTCGGGCACCAAATCCGATATACGCCGCACGACGTTCCTGAAAACCATAAGTAAAATATTCATTAGAAAAAACCACACTCAAAAACGTGTTTGCATTTTAATATCTAAACTATTTTACCTAAGTTATAAATATTTTAATTAATAATTATTATTTTCATAAAACCACAGTCTACAATGCGTTAAATGTTGTATTAAAGTAAAAAATATATAAATATCTGTATATTTATATAGCTTTTTTTCACCAGATAGTTAAGAACATAAGTGTATTTTGAAAAAAAGAAACATGGTATTAACAAATCAACGAACGGCTATATTATGTATTGATTATGTTATTTTTATATCAATTATAGTATAGCTTGAGTATTGTGGTTAAGGACAATCATTATGATACTCAGGAGCTATTCATAAGTAATATTAAATTAAAACAACATTTTTTATGTTATAAATACGAAAAATACAGGTTTGCCTAACTAATCAAGAATACTAAATATTTTACACATAGTTTACTGAAAAAAAAATCCGTTTAAAAAGACATAAAAATCACAATTCTTATATTATTGTTGTACTTATATTAAAGGAGATTAGATCAAAGTTTAAAATATTATCAAAATCCATAAATATACTATTAAACAATACACGTTTTGTGTTGATAAACGGCTAAGGATCAATAAGAAATATCTAGCATTAAAGATAACCGTTTGTTTATTAAATATATCTAATAAAGATTTTTTTTGAACAATACCATAATTTACACCAGCTGTATAGTTAAACACAATCACTGTAACAACAGTAAATTATTTCAGAAGTTAAAAGATTTCTATATTACCATACAAATGATGAGAAATCGTATAGTGGTTCAAATTATACACAAAATTGCTGATTAAAAAAAGTATTTAGCTCAATGTAGTGTAAACATAACATTATAAAGACCAAAGACTTGAAACAAATAAAATTACCATAGCTTATATGAGATATACCTAACATTTACAATAAATCTCGTTAGCTAGGTATAATTTATAGGAAAATGATGCGAGAGCCGGTTATTGAACACACTAAACAGTAAACACGGCAATAATAATAACTTAAGTTTGTAAATAGGGTCTAAAAGGACCAATAATTGCAGTTATTAAAGATTTTAGTTTATATTATGTTAGATAACGTTTATTATTTAAGAAGTTGTATTTGTCATCAATATACATTTATACTAATGCGCTTTTTTGGAAAATAAAAACTTAAGCGTTGGTTTGTGAGTTATCGAGTATTTTATTTCTGTAATTGACCTTTTTAGACCCAAGACACAGATAAACGTTAAAAAAATAACAATAAATAATATTTAACTAGCCAATGGACAGAAGCCACGGTTATTTAAAAAAAAAAATCATTTCTATTTAACTATAAAATCATTATGCGATCTAATATATAATGATATAAAAAACAAATAGATTTCCTTCGTGACTAATGCATCGTGATCCTATGCACTGTACCCATATGTGTGGACAGATAATATTTTTGGGAAAAACGTCTAAAGCAAATGGTACACATGAATTTACGTTCAACTCCGCACTCGTAAACAAGATGTCGCCGAAGAACTTTTTTCCTGTGCGTGCCTTTGTAACTCCGTCCGCAATTTTTCGGGCACTTGGCTGGGTCATCTTTGGCGAGAAAATCCAAATTGGTCAGCCAAAATTCTGTAATTTATCAAAACGTAGTATTTTTAGTCGCGACACATAAAATGTTCAAAAAAGTCAAGTCAACATGCGTTAAAATTACTATAAAAGCCAAGACAATAGTACTGGGAAAGGAACTATTGTTAAACCAGTTCTTATACAATTGTAAATCCATAAATTTACCATTACAGCTGTTTTTATTTACTTTAACTCTAAATATTTTACTATTTAATTCTACTGTCAAAAGTGTGCAGTTAATAACTTGACGGTAATTTAACGGTGCAAAAATCGATGTATAAATATTATATAACCAAATAAATTCAATGCGTTTAAGTTAAATTGTATTCAGGTTATTTTATACCGGCTTTAAAGTTGATTTCCCACGTAAACTTTTTTTTATAAACGTTTAGGCGATGTCTATATCGGGAAAAGGAAAAAGTATCGTTGAATGATGGGATCTTGAAAATTTTATTTTTTTTAAATCGGAAGGAACCTTTAGGTACTAAACACCATACAACTTAAAATTTGTGATTTTCAAAATATCTACATGTATTTTTTAGTGAGAGATTTGTTGAAATTAAAATTAATGTAGCACTAATTTTAAGTTTTTTAGAATCCTAATCCCCCCATGATCTTTGCCAATGTGAATTGATCACAGTTTTTTTTGATCTTGTTTCCACAAATGACAAAAAAAAACTAATACATTCTCAATTCTGCATCTAAGCTAAAATAAACATTAAAAATGTATAGTGTTTAAATTTGATTACGGGCTACAGCGTAATGAAGTTAAATTTTGTTTTAATATTAAGTCAATGCACCCTGAAAAAATTTACTTTTTCACGTTAAACATATTTTTAAAGGGAGAGATGCGCTGCGTGTAGGCTATAAAATCTAAAATCTAAGTTTTCGTTTGATTTATAATTATGTATGTACTCATATTACTCGTATTAATATTATGTATGTAATCATAACTCATAGATAAATGTAATAAACTAGATCGTTGGTTTACGACGAAATAGTAAATTCACTGATCGACTATTTTTGACGGTGATGTTCATCACACATAATATAATTTCATAAAAACACGAGTGCGTTAGATACGATAATTGTAATAATAAAAAATGATTTACTATTACTGAAAATCTATGCAATAAAAAAATCCATAAACATGTCACCACAAATTGATGACATTATCGGTTTGCTGGCCAGCATAAAACAGTTAACAATCAAGTTTATTATCTTTCTGTACACTTAAATTATTGTTACTAATGTTAATAAATGATTTATTTAATTATTATTACAATTGGATCAATAACATAAAGTATATAAATACGAAAAAGAAAAATTATCAGTTTTATATTTTTACCCTATTATAATAAAAATTTGCATATGTTCTCATTTTAAAAAACAATTACCAATATATTTAATATAATTCATTAAAAATTTTTAATTGAGTACTCTATTTTTCAAAAAAAATTATTTGTTTTAATTGCGTTTTGTAAATACACTCGAATATATCATTCTCAGTAAATCAGTAAGATGAAATATGTAGTAATAGTTAAGGATAAAATTTGCTGCATCATTACAACTAATGTCTGTAAACAGATGTAAATTATCACACACAACACTCTATTAGAGTATTTTGAACAATTAGTGAAATATATGCAATTCGATAGTTTTATGATGGTGCAAGACAAATAAATATATATATAACTGAGAACTTTTTAAACCATAATAATATTTGATATTGCAAAAAACACATTCTGTAACTCTAGGTTTTCGCCATCAAAAACTAGGTTGTGTACACACTTTTTTACCGCCTTTGAGTTGCAAAATGGCTTACATTTTTTACATTTTTATTACAAACAAAATGTTCAGAATTAGCGAAAAACTAATTTATTTACTACTTCCTCTAGTACAACTTTTAATTATTTTAGAATTAAGAATTAAATAGGACATACTATTTTTTTAAATTTGAGATTTCTATACGACTAGTTAACAATAATAAAATGGCAAAAAATTGATGTCGGCTGAAAGTGGACACACTTTTGCAACTGGCGGACTCGTATGTGCGTTCTAAAATAGGTGTTCAAAATTACTCCAACTATTAAAGTATATAAAATAAAAATGCTGTTAAGTTCGGGCTTCGGTTTCCTTGAAGAGAAAAATACTACAACAGCTTTCTGTACTGCAATTATATTACTTACTATATTTGTATTTCTACGTTTACTAACGAATTGACAGACATTACGTAAACATATTGATACATTAGTTGT